CTGCCCTGTATCTTGGTCTCTCATTGGCTGTAGGTCATCGCCGATGTGTTTTTCAGTCAGAACTCATTGCACACAGCGTGATTGTGAATCACCGACAGCTCCAGATATTTAGCATGCCAAATATTTTGCGGGCGACATGTCGGCGATTCCCTCGGATCGCATCTTTGATAATTCACACTGCGTGATTGTCACTCGCGTGAACGAGCACCGATTTGCCTCCGATTCCGGGCATTTGTCGGTGATTTTGCAAAACCTGTCGGCGAGTGAAAAATCGGGCTAAAATCGTGCAGTGTGAACTTGGCATAAGCTGCAAAATACTATCTAAATATGAACCCTGCATGTTCTGCGTGTCTCTGTATTAGTGAATGGCGCAGATGCGCGGATTCGTTTACTACACATACTCTGAAGCGCACGTGACGCTCGCAGTGATTTCAGCCTCGGCCGCCTCAATATATGAGTAGATAAACATAATCTCTAGAACTGCTCTGAGAGTCACTTCATGAGCATTTTACAGTTTCTTTTTTTTTTTTTTTACTTATTTTTATTTTGAACCACAACATTGCATACAGTACAGTATTACAGTTTAACATGTTAGTCCTTTATATTTCAGCTACATTGACAGTAGGGGTAGAACGGTTCTCGGTAAAAAATCAAACCGTACGGTTCGGCACACACTAGTGACATGTGGCATGTGGCCAAGTATGGTGACCCATACTTGGAATTAGTGCTCTGCATTTAACCCATCCAAAGTGCACACACACAGCAGTGAACACACACACACAGACCGTGAACACACAACACACACACACACACCGTGAACACACACCCGGAGCAGTGGGCAGCCATTTATGCTGCGGCAGTTGGGGGTTCGGTGCCTTGCTCAAGGGCACCTCAGTCGTGGTATTGAAGGTGGGAGAGAGCGCTGTACATTCACTCCCCCACCTACAATCCCTGCCAGTACGAGACTCGAACCCACAACCTTTGGGTTACGAGTCCGACTCTCTAACCATTAGGCCACGTTAGGACCGCAGTTCAACTTAAATCTGACAATCTATAATATGGTTTGTTATAAATAACAGCACGTAAAACAAACAGGGTTCAGCTAATGTATGTTTCTGTTGATGGATGCGCATTCTGGCTTCCCAGTACATTACAACAACAGCAATGAAGAAAAAAAAAAAAAACGTGAACAAACCATTCACTCTTGTTCAATGCGAATGCCGTATGCTGGAATATGAGCAGTCATTTATTCCGTCATCGTGCTGATAGCGTGCGTGCACAGGTGAGATCTGAGCAGCACACGTTGATATCTGTGTTTAAACTAAACTCATTTAAGCCTTGCCAGCTTAAACATTTAAGAGCCAGAGGACGCGAGCTCGCGCGTGCAGTGAGAAGATTTATGCATGTGCTCATCCAAAGCGTGCAAACCCGCGCCTCAGAACGCGAGCAAGGAAATCACTCACTGCTCGATTGAATAGCTTTTGTAACTTTAATAAAGATTAATCTTGAATTTATACAGTAAAATATGCAATACTATTTTACATTTGATTACTTTATTCAATTACTGTACCTAAAAACTAATGTTAGTCCTACCTAAAAAAAAAACTGAAAATCACTGTTTATTTTATTTGTGTCTTTACTCTATTGTATTTAATTGTGCTGTTGCTTGTAGTTAGATTATTCGTATTTTCTTTATTTTTATTTGATAGTATAGTTTTTCCCTAAACATAGCACATAGTGCTGGGCGGTTTGACCAAAAATTTATATCACGGTATTTTTCAAAATTATACCGGTTTCACGGTACATGACGGTATTTTTTTTTCATGCATGACCGGGTGTTAACCATATTTTGTACTGATTGAGAGAGGAAATACTGCAGTATATTGACTTAGAATGCCCTATTTTACTGTCATGATGAGTGAATATTGTCAAAAAATACCACACTAAATAGTGACTAAACACGACCCCTTTTAATACGTTAACCAGGAGTCACTCTCATTTACACATACCGAACCGTACCAAAACCGTGACACTAGAACTGTGATACAAACCGAACCGTGAGTAAGTTGAACTGTTCCACCCCTAATTGACAGTGGTTCAGTCTCAATTATATCAGACGTATTACGCAGAAAATGAAAACATCCCAGTACACCTAGTAAGACCACAGAAAAGCAGAAAAAATAAAATAAAGTAAAATAAATAAAAATAACGTGGATAGAGAAGGGGGATGACCATGCTTGTTACAGTATAGCTCATTATTGAAATATTAAAGGCATAGCAGGGGCCCACCTCTTTAGAAAAGTTGTTTTTTGAAGTCGCAATGAATATGTGATTTGTTCCATTTCGTACAGCTCCCACACTTTTTGAATCCAGACATTGTATGATGGAGGGTCAGGTTTTAACCATCTGCATGTGATGCGCTTAATAGCTGCAGCAAGTAGAATTTGTAATAAGTATATTTTGGATCTACCCTCAAAGCCCTCTGGGCATACACCTAGGAGGGCATCTATGGGATCTTAGGGGATTTCATGATGGAAGATTTCTTTAAGAGCATTTTAACGTTTCTTTTGAGAAAACTATCATCATATCATATACAAACAAACTTAAAGGAACCCGTCAAAATACTTGACAGAAATATATTACTTAATGTAATGATAGTACTACTACTAATAATAAAAATATTATTAAAACAATATTTAAGGAATATTTACCAGAATTTATTTAACAGAAAATTGTAATTACACAACACAGCATTTCTGAAAAAAATAAATAAATGGCCAAAATTAATTCTTTATAAAAAAATCTAATTATCGTTTACAAATTAATTAGATATGCTAGGGCTGGGTGATATAGCTAAAAAATATATCAACGATATATGTTTCATATCGTTCGGTATCGATAATTATTGACATTTTTTATAACCTTTTTTAAAACAGAGCAATAGAAAAAATGTTTACATTTAACCACTGTATTTTTAATTTGCCCACTTTATTAAGACAAACAACAAATATGTATATATATATATTTTTTTTTTACAGTCAAACACAAAATAAAATGTAAACAAATATCTCCTTTCTTACCTTTTATATGCAGATTAAATAAGTCTTAATGAAAATTTTGACTTGTTTCCCGAGGCCACAGGAGGGCGCAATGAGCAAAATAATACAGCGCATTAATTGTCAATTCAAATAACTGTCTATAAAAACGTGCATAACGTCTAAATTCACATATATAAATCAAATATAATTTTGTAAACTGCATAAACAATTATGAACAAAACAGCATCATGTGTTTATGCATTGCTTAGCCTAATACAAAGAGCCAAATCGCCGATCACACAGATTGCATTTAAAAACATATGAGACGCAGTGAAATGAAATAAACCTTCACAAATTCGCGTCGCGTTTTCTAAACGTTAAAACTGTTTTAACTTTGCATGACTTTCTTTGCATCTCTTGCATGAGACGCGAGTGCAGCAGTCATATTTGTCCGTCTAAAAATGTGCTGAATATGTATTCTGTGTGAATGGCTTGGTTTCGATTTTAACCTGATCAAGATCTTCTATGCATTGAACTACTATATTTCTCTGATATTTTGAACGAATAACACAGCAGCGGCGCGTCTCGTGGGCTAGACTAACAAAACATTAAACTACAACGTCACTTACATCATCATCACCGCATCTCGCGCACCACTGATGACGCTCCCTGACGCACTCCTAACATTCAATTGTACCATTTTTGCATTCAAATGCAAATGTTTATTTTAAATTCGACTAATATTCATTTTTTTATTCACAATCTCCTCATCACAGGCAGGCACAGCACTCATGTTCCTGTTTGTGTGTGCTGTCTGCGTCACTCATATAGCACGTGCCTATATCGTGCGCTATATCAAACATTTTTTATATCGTTATCGAAGAAGGTGTACCGTTGGCATCATATGACCCCTTTAATGGATAATAAAACCGATTTCATATAGGCAGGGCTCCAGACAAAAAAATTGAGTAAGGAGCCAATTGGCTCCTATGAGAAAAAAACTTAGGCGCCGAAAAATTATTTTAGGTGCCACAAAATAAACGCGTTTTATTTCTTTTATTTATTTATTTTTTTTACATTTTAATCATACTGTCATGTGTTAATGTCTCATCTTTTCTTGACTTAATCAGCATTTTAATCCATCTTGTAGATGACTACAAGGTTCACTTAAAGTGGGAACTAAATGTCTTTTCCAACTTGAATTGTTCATTACACAGAATCTGTACCAATATCATGGACCATAAGCATCACTTGGCCACTGAGTGTAGTTTGGGCTCCTCCTCAATGCATCCTGTAAATGTTGTCATACACTCTTAAAAATAAAGGTGCTTCACGATGCCATAGAAGAACCTTTTTTGTCTAAATTGTTTCATAAAGAACCTTTAACATCAGAAGAACCTTTACGTTTCACGAAAGGTTCTTTGTGGCGAAAGAAGGTTCTTCAGATTATAAAAAATTGAGAAAGAGATGGTTAAATAACCTTTGACTGAATGGTTCTTTGTGAAACCAAAAATGGTTCTGTGAAGAACCTTTTAAGCACCTTTATTTTTAAGAGTGTATGTCTTTCACACTTTCAGTCTGTTTTTCTTAATTAG